CTTAGTCAGTTAAGTGTCTGACTTCCACTTAGGTCATGATCCCACAGCTTGTGAGTTCAAACCCTATGTCAGGCCCTGTGCTAAGAGCTTAGACCCTGGAGCCTGCTTCAGATTTTGTCTCCCTCTCTCTCTGCCCCTGCCCCACTCTTCTGTCTCTCTCTCTCTCTCTCTCTCAAAAATAAACATTAAAAAAATTATAAAGTGAACTTTATAAGCCTTTGTCCTTCTGTCTCCATCTCCTTTCTTTTCCCTGATCTCTTTTTAAAAGCCTTGTTTATAAAGACATGTAACCCTTACAACTGTGAGGTCACAACCCCTGAAATGCACATATCTAAGTGTTTTCCAAGGTCTTTGCCTCCACTTTTACTGATCCAACAGATAGTCTCCACAAGCCTCTAGGCACTCAGTGAGGTCATTTCAGGCTAATATGATTCCCTTGAATGTTATTTTGTTCTAAATAAAATAACTGAGAAAATGTACCATAATATGAGTTTTTGTAACTTAAATGGAAGGTGATCCCTCCTCTTTGAGAGATGCTTTTTTAAAATCTTGCCTTGGGATGCCTGGGTGGCTCAGTCGGTTCAGAGTCCAACTTTGGCTCAGGTCATGATCTTGCAGTTCGTGGGTTCAAGCCCTGTGTTGGGCTCTGTGCTGACAGCTAGCTCAGAGCCTGGAGCCTGTTTCAGATTCTGTGTCTCCCTCTCTCTCTGACCCTCCCCTGTTCATGCTCTCTCTCTCTCTCTCTCTCTCTCAGAAGTAAATAAAAAACATTTAAAAAAATAAAATAAAATCTTGCCTTATATGTCCTCACATACACCACCTGCCTATTACGGGTACTGTAAGAACTAGGAATGCAATGGTAAAAAGTACGTAAGCCCTGCTGTCATGGAGCTTATATTCTAGAAGGGGAGGCAACTGGAATAAAACATTAGAAGTGCAGGGGAGTAAGGAGATATGACTAAATGCAATGTAGTACCCTAGACTGGATCCTAAAACAGAAAAAGGACATTAGTGGAAAAATTAGTGAAATCCAAATAAAGAGTGTAGTGTAGGTAATAATAGCATATCTATGTTCAGTTTTAGTTTTGACAAATGTGTCACAGTTATGAACATGTTAACATTAGGGAAAATTGGGCAAAGGATATATGGGAAGGTCTTCTGAAAATATAAAATTATCCCAAAATAAAAATTATACTAAAAAAAAGGAAGAAGAGAAAAAGAAGAGCAAGGTGATTTGGGAGCACTCAACCTAATTTGAGGGTCAAGGAAAGCTTTCAAAGAAAGCAATATTTAAGCGGAGAACTGAAGGACAAATAGAAGTTAACCAGACAAGAATATGGGAATATATCCACAATAGTATGTATGTAGAATGTTTAAAGGGCCAGAAGCAAGAAAAAGCATGATAAATTCTAGAAACTGAATATAATTCAGTATGGCTAGAAATTAGAATAGAGTGGGTCTGGTGAGAAGGAAGAGAATGGATAAGATAAAGCTACACTGGTAGGACACAAAGGGATTTAAAAACCATGTTGAGGGGGCACCTGGGTGGTTCAGTCAGTTAAGCGTCCAACTTCAGCTCAGGTCATGATCTCACGGTTTGTGTGTTAAGCCCCATGTCAGGCTCTGTGCTGACCGCTCAGACCCTTGAACCTGCTTCGGATTCTTTGTCTCCTTCTCTCTTTTCTCCTTGCTCATTTGTGCTCCATCTCTCTCTCAAAAATAAACATTAAAAAACATTTTTTTAAATGTTGAGAAGTTTGCATCTTGGGCAATCCCAAGAAGAAATAAAAACTACTAGCAAACATATATTTTAAAAGCTTCCTTTATTGGTAGTCAAAGAAATGGAAATTCACTGGATAATATTTTAATTTATTCAATTACAAAATGTTTTTCAATTATAATATTCTCTGATGCTGAGGGTATGAAGAAGGAGTTGCATATACTCTGCTGGATATCTTTCTGGAAAGCTTTTTTGCAATTTAAATACAAAGTTCCAATAATATTCAAATCCCTTTATCCCTTCAGTCTTACTTCTGGGATGTTTTATTAAGGAAATAATTAGAAATACATCTTTAAAATAATATAAAAAGACATCCTCATCATAACAGTATAAAACTTTTTACAATCTTGGTGCCAAAATAGAAACATAGGGGTGCCTGGGTGGCTCAGTCAGTTAAGTGTCCGACTTCAGCTCAGGTCATGATCTCACAGCTCATGAGTTCAAGTCCCGTGACAGCTCAGAGGTTGGAGCCTGCTGCAGATTCTGTGTCTTCTTCGCTCTCTGCCCTTCCTCAACCCGTGCTCTGTCTATCTTGTCTCTCAAAAATAAACATCAAAAAATAGAAACACAATTAAATACATGATTGTTTCCATACGATGAAATATTATCCAAGTATTAAAAACATTTAAAAAGAATTTTGGAGTTTCAATGACATAGATTATAAATATATATGTATATAATCCATATATGTGTGCACAAGAATATCCGAAGACAGAACTGGCTACTTAATTTGCAGGACCCAGTGCAAAATGAAAATGCAAGACCTCTTGTCCAAAAATTATTAATAATTCTGAGTGGCTCAGTCGGTTGAATGTCTGACTCTTGATTTAGGCTCAGGACCTTGTTCTCTAAAGAACTTGTTTGTGTGACTTGTCATGCGTTTCTGCCAGAGCTACACATACACACTCATGGAAGGCTTAATTGGCTTGTGCTCTGTATCTGGCCTCAGGATCAGAACTGGCCCTACTGTTTCTGACGCCAAGAGGGATTAACTTGCCTCACCTCCTTGAACCAGACTAGGCTGGCCCCCTGGAATGGATCAGAGAGGGAAGAGAAATATGCAGACTTCCAGGCTCCTAAGACTGTGAGATATGATCAGAGAAACAGAGGGAAAAAACAAACAAACAAACCCAGCTTGCTCAGGATGGCATGTAGGCAAACTAATGACTCACCACAGATCACACGTGGGTAGTGTATATATTGCCCTGTCAGAAACAGTTGGTTGGAAGCCTCACCTGAGGGAAGGATGCTCTGTCCAGGACCCTCAGTTGGGACTCCAACTAGGCTGTTATCCGCGGGGCTTCCCCAGCCAGAAGGTTGGGTGTTGTGAGTTCCCCATTTGACGTATTAGCTCTTCTTTGTTCTTCTCTGTACTTCTCCTCCTCTTTATGTTTACTATAATTGTTTAATTCCATATATTACCTTTCCCTTATAATTAATGAAACTTTCCTCCACAAAACAGAAAATCCAGCTATCATAAATTACTATTATTTAGCACATACCTGATCTCATGTTCCTGAAATCGAGCCCCATGTGGGGGCTCTGCACTGACAGCATGGGCTCTGCTTGGGATTCTCTCTGTCCCTCTTTCTCTCTGCCCCTCCCCCTCTCAAAATAAATGATATTTTAAAATTATTAATAATTCCAAAATAACAGTAGTAAAACCTTAAATCAAATGTAAGGCGCTCTGAATGAGTCCTGCACAAGTGCATGCCCTTGAAACTGGCTAGCCCTATAAAAAAATACTGAAAGAAAATATCCCAAAACATTAATAGTGATTATCTTTGGGTTTTGGGATTACTGATGATATTTTTTTTTCCTGATGACTTTTATTTCATGTCTTTAAAATTTTTTCACAATAAACATATATTGCTTTCTTTAAATCTTCAAACGGATATATTTCATGAAGAAGAAATATTATTCTATAAGAAAGGACTAGGATGTAGGTTTTTAAAGGTGAGCAAATAAATTAGTATAAATGTAAATGCACATAAACAACTATTTGCTTCTAAGGCAATTATATTGCTGACTCAGTTGTCAGTTGCTGCATGAAATTACCCCAAAATGTAAAGACTTAAGCCAAATAACAAATTTTTGTTCTGACTTAGTCTGCAATTAAGAGCTGGGGACAGATGGCTGTTCTTCTGTTCCCTGTGGTGTCTGATCGGGCTGCAGTGTCCAAAATGGCTTTTTCCTTCATGTGTGGAGGCTCACCTGAGATGGCTTGGACATCTGGGCACTAACTGAGCACCCTGGTTTTTCCTACAACAGAGTTGCCGGACTTCTATACATAGTGACTGAAGCTCTAATCTTCTGTTTGTACCAAGCTTTCCCATGCCACATTGGTCAATCTAAACTACATGGCCAAGCTGAGCTGATGTGACAGTAGATTACACAAGATGATACAAGACTATACCAAAGTATATGGCTTATGAGGGTCACTAATTGCCTACCTGTAGAGTTAAAATTAGATTTATGGTAACAATAATATATGTTATTAACATATTAACAATAATAATAATAATTATTAACATATATTAACAATAATAATATATATTATTATTAGTAGTATTAATGGATAGTATATGAAAATAGTCATAAATTGAGTTTTATGTCATATATGTATACTTTCAAGGGTTTCCAACATTTTATATAATGCCTCACTTGAGATATACAATATATTTTGAATCTATTGACTTGTCCCTTATTCATTCATTCATTTACATTTTCTAGGTGAAAGGGATTCAGAGTACACTTACTGTGACGAGCACTGAGTAATGTATAGAATTGTCGAATCACTATATTGTACACCTGAAACTAATATAGCATTGTATGCTAATAAGGCTTGAATTAAAATTGTTTTAAATTATGCAGTTATCTAATAGTAATTAAAACAATTTTTTAACTGAGTATAATTGACATGCAATGTTACATTAATTTCAGGTCTACAACATGGTGATTCAACTTCTTTATACATTACGCTATATTCACCACAAACACATATTGCTTTTATAACCAGTGAGAAAACAGTATGATTCTTTAACACACTTGCCCTGCCCCTCCCTCCCACCAAAAGACCTGAAAGGCAATCTACAGTGAATTGTTTTCTATTTTGCTTTTAGGCTGTTTTAAAGATCCATTTTGGGCCACTGGGAATAACAAATACTTTTTTTTAAGTTTCTACACTACATTTTTAAGTCACTGTAGAAAACAGAGCAGGATATAAAAATGAAATCAGTTGTTAAGTCAAAAAAGCAAGCCAAGCTGAATCACAAATAACACATTTCCATCTATTTTTGTCCCATATAGAATGAAGTATTTGGTTGGACATTGAACATTTGCTTGAATTGTGCAATGCTGAAATTTTCTTCAGTGTCCTTAGACCTACATTCATATAATTAACAGCCCACACTAGCAAAGGAAGGAAGGCCTGCAGGAAGCCTATTGCATCTTGAGCACTTGCTCATTCAAAGAACGATTCAGCCGTGCATTTTTTTTCATCGAAAGGGGCTGCATCTGGAAGACAATAAAAGACGCCTTAAGTGAGAGAGCATGAGGGGATTAAAAATCATACAGAGGGTATTCACAATGCATTCTTTTAGAATTTATACAGAGAAGGCTTAACAAGTTGAGCTGTTAGAGACAAACTACCACTTTGGCACTAAGGAAGCACACCAGCCAAGGCAAATCACTTCATCCTTTTAGTGCCCCAATTGACACTCTACCTAGGTACAAAGGATTGTCCCTGCAGCCTTCATATTTTGGCATATTCTGTACTGCAGGCTCAAATAATTGTCTCCCTTGTGCAATTTCAAGCAGAAGGAATATGAAGAAAAGAAAAATGATTGGATCCCTTTTTCTCTCTCATCTTCTATAATGGTGTATCATGAGAAAAGTCTTTCTATAGAGCACCAACTAAGGAGGGGGGATCCAAACTGAGGAAGCCAGAAGAAGACCACTTGTTCCATTTAGGAAGGGGAAGAGACCTAAAGAGGAAGATCTTAGGGGAGAAAGAGGAAAAGGAGAAATGAGAGTATCAAAGACAGGGAGGGAAGTTGAATAGATTTGAGACAGAGAAAAGAGAAATATGTGATACTGATGTTTGAGTATCTTCAAGGAGAGAAAAATGTTCAAGAAAATATTTATAAGATGCTGCTGGGGCACCTGGGTGGCTTGGTTTGGTTAGGTGTCCAACTTCAGCTCAGGTCAAGATCTCACTCTGAGTTCACGCCCCACTTTGGGCCCCTCCTGTGCGAGCAGCTCAGAGTCTGGAGCCTGCTTTGGATTCTGTGTCTCCCTCTCTCTCTGCCCCTCCCCTGCTGGTGCTCTGGCTCTCTCTCTCTTTAAAAATTTTGTAAATAAACATTAAAAAATTTTTTTAAAAAAACAAGATGCTGTTATAGCAGTGTATTATAACCCTTGAAAGCTTCTCTGTTTCCCTTGAAAGCTTCAGTAAAAAATGATTACTCACCAATATTTTTGCAGTAAGATTTCTGTTGTTTGGGTGAGATGACATTTGACAGTGGCCTCTGGGGAGTCAGAGAGGACCAAGGAATGTCAGGTACATTCATGCTGCAGGTTAAAGACAGCAAAGGGGACTCCTTTCTTCATGTTTATTTTATACAAGTGTAGTGGACGAAAAAGTTTTCCTTGACCTCTTACGGTCCCCGGCTGCATCTGAAATTTAAACTGGCAACGAGACAGAGTAACAGGAAAAAAGCATACAAAATCACTTAATGTAAGTTTTAGGTGACACGGGAGCCTTCATATAATAATGAAGATCCAAAGAAACAGTTAGACCTGAGTACATTTATTCTAGGCTTTATGAAGAGTGTTTATTCCTTTTTGTTGTGAAACAAGGGGCTGAGGTGGAGATCAAAGTGCCAATTCTACGTTAAATCTAACTGCCAAGAAAGACTTCTCTGAGGAGCTAATATTTAAGTTAAGGAAATCATATTTGAAATCTAAAAGAAGACAAAAAGCTAGTCAAGTGACATGTCAGGGAAAAGCATTTTATCGAGGGGAAGAGCTTATATGATGGTCTTTAGAAAGGAAAGTGGCTTTAAAGATGGCATTACAATAGTACCTGTTGTCTATGGGGATACATTCCAAACCCTCAGTGGAGGCCTGAAACCACAGATAGTACTGAACCCTGCATATACTGTATTTTTTCTTGTATATACATACATATGGTAAAGTTTAATTTATAAATGAGGCACAGTAAAAGATTAACAATAATAGCTAATAATAAAATAGAACAATTATAACAATGTACTGTAATAAAAGTTATGTGAATGTGGTCTCTCCCAAAGTATCTTTTGTTTTTTGTTTTGTTTTATTTTGTTTTGTTTTAGAGTGCGAGAGGTGCGAGCAGAGGAGGACAGAGGGAGAAAGAGCAAGAATCTCAAGCAGGTTTGAGCCCTACATAGGGCTCGAACCCACAACCCTAGGATCATGATCTGAGCCAAAACCAAGGGTCAGCCACTCAACTGACTGAGCCATCCAGGCGCCCCTCAAAATATCTTACTGTACTATACTCACCTTTCTTCTCATGATAATGTGAGATGATAACATGCTTACATGATGAGGTCAAGTGAGGTGAATGATGTAGGCACTGTGATGTGATGTTACACTACTATGGACCTTCTGGTTATCTGTCAGAAGGAGGATCATCTGTTTCTGGGCCTCAATTGACAGTGGGTAACTGGAACTGTGGAAAGCATAACTGTGGATAAGAGCAGACTATTGCACCTGAGGAAGGGGTCATAGAGGTTGGAATTCAATTCAGAAAGTTGACAGGTGGGCTCTGATTGGTCCCTTCTGAGCCATAAACCAACCTCTGTCAGAAAGGTACTGTGAATAATATGGGAGGCACTAGGGTGAGGTGCTAAGAAGATAGGAAGGGAGATAAAATCCAGGAAGCAGGGTGACTCTTTCACATTCCATAAAAGAAAGACTTGTAGAAATTGATTTCCTGCGGGTTCTGTGAGGGTACCATCTTCTTCTATACCATCAGGTAAGATTGACTTGTGATTAGTGACATCAGGACAAGCCATTTGAAACAGGAGCAGTGCACGGAAAAAAGGGATCCAGAGTCATACCATGAACTATGGGTGATATGCTCTGCTGATGACAGGTTTTATAAGACAGGCCATGATCCTATGCACTGCTGACTGAGGAAATGTCCTTCATGCAGATCCCCACTGTCTCTAGAGTTGAGTTGGAAGACCTACATAAGAGGGGACCTGGGAGGGAGACCTTAATTTAGCCTCAAGCTAAAGCCACTTTACCTCAACACACTTTACAAGGAAACCCTCCCTAGATCTGCCTTCAAATGGATTAGAACTTGAAGGGGAAGATAAGGGAGAGATCAGCCCCCAGATCTCCAGCAGGTGGATCTTGGTTAGATATGTAAGTATCTTGAAATAGAGTTCTATTAGTTCAGACTATTAATTATAAGGACAAAATTCCACTCAAACCAGCTTGAGGAGAAAAAAAAGGGCTATTGGCTCACATCCTGGAAAAAAACAGAAGTATGTGTGAAATCAAAAGTTTCTGCCTCTCATTTCTCATCTCTATTTGGCTTGGCTTCATTCTCTCACTTCATATCCTCATTCTTGGTGCTTTCACCCTTTTTCCATGTGGTAGGGAATAGCCCAGTGGCTCAAGCCTATGTCACAGCATAACTACACTTTTCTCTCCATACTTGTACACATCAAATTCTAAGGAAGGTCTCTGGTTGGCCATCCTTGGTCAGTCCTAACTTCTAAAGCCAATCACTCTGGAGGGACTCTAATTGGCCAGATCCTGGTCATAGGCCCACCCATGAGGCCAAGGCTATCAGAGTATTATGACTCAAAGTCCTATGAACTAGGAAGGGTTACTTCTCCAACACCAAGGCTACTGGAGAGACAAAACTGACAAAATTCAGAACAGTGAGGAAAGTTAAGAATACATTTTTATGAGAGCAGCACAAAAGAAGTGTAAAAATTACTCCAATCCAGAATGGTCTTCCTCTACCAGCACTCAATTAAATTACTGTTCTCAAAGGGTAACTTTCTCATGAAATAAAACGGAGGGTGGGTATTGAGGAAATGCAGCAGGGCAGGAAATCATCTTGTTCTCCCCAGAGGTATAAAGAAGGGCAAGAAACAGATGTAGGTTCCCACACTGAAGTAAAAAGGCATTGAAAGGGACAGATAGAGCTCTGGTTGCTGGGACTAAGTTTACTTCCAGAAGGTATAGTAAAAGACAGCAAGTTACAGTCCAAGAAAGCATGGGCCCAACACAAAGAAGTTGTAAGGTCTCAGATGGTAGATGTTGAATATTTCTCCAAGTAGATTTCCAAATACTGAGAGTCACCTGTCAGGTATTCAGGCTGAGATTATAGTGCATACCTTCAGTCCTTAGTATGATAAGAATAGGGACTTGATAAAAACAAGGCAGGGCCTTCAGGTCTAGAGAGAGTGTAGTTCCCAGCAGGTTTCTAAGTACACAAAGGTGTACTTACAAGCACAGATTACCTCAAAGTCTGGTCTTGGAAACAATTCAGAAACCCATTGTTGGAGCATGAGGTTAGAGCTGGTCTAAGCAGTGGTTGTAACTTCTGTGTCAACTTCCTGGGTGATTGGCAGGAATGCCTTTCAGAAGCTGAGATTTATTTTAGGGGCCAGGTTTATTTAGGGAGAGGGAAGATATAGAAGTGGGAAGTCAGGTAGGTTTTGACAGGTACAAGGAAAGATTATTTACTATGCGAATTTAATTGAGTGTGTTTTGATCAGATCAAGTTTCAGAGCTGTATCAAAGTCCTACAAGGGAGATATTTTTTAAAGGTAAAGGTGTAGGCTCCACATCTGATTTGAAGTACCCAGGGCTATGAGAATATCATGATCAATAAATACTAGGTACAATGTTGGGGCACATTTGGATAAGAATAATTCGAGGTCTTATATTCATCTCTAAGATGTGCCTCTCTGGGTGAAGCTGTATGAATAAAAATGTGGCTTCAGTTTCAGGCTGGAAACTTGGCACCATTTACTTACAAATTAAAAATGCAAACAATACCTCCAGCAATGTAGATAATGCTATGGGTTGAATTTTTTTCCTTATTAAACTCTAGTTAAGCCATCCATCACTTCAAGGGACAATTTTCCCAAACGTGCTCTTCTTAAAACCACTGAATTTTATTTATTCTCTTATATCATGAAGAATTTTGACTCCTAGGGGGAAATCTCATGCATGTGCCCATCTGTTTTTCCTTTTGGGGGTGGGAGAGTTTTCTTCCATCCTTTCCGCTTGAAAACTATTGCTTTCCCATTCCACAAGATTCTGGTGGGCCTGTCCGTTACATGGGCTTATGACCTAGGCTGCCCAATCAGAGTACTTAATTCCCCTAAACACACACTTGGTCCAGGAGGGAGCAAGTGACATAATCTAAGTTCTTTCCAAAGATTGATGTAAATCCAGAGGGAGAAAGTGTCTCCCTCTCTTCTCTGGAATTGCTCACTGTGAGAATACAATAAACCTGGGCTATTTGGTGGGTTATCTTTGCTCTTATATGAAGAAAGCCTGCCTGAAAATGAAGCCACACAGAGGAAAACAGAAGCAAGACAGAGAGACACCAAGAGAAAGGTAGGAGAGATCTAATGACAAGATTTGTACTCTAGAACCAGTGATGCCAAAGTAGGCCCATTTGGACTTCCCATTTCTGGGAGCCTATGCATTTTCTTTGTTACTTAAATTAGACTGTGGGGTTTCTGTCACATACAATTGAAAGGCTCCAGACATTTAAAAATCAACAGTTCAACCACACGGAGTCTCAAGGTACTATTGCTAGCCCTGGTCACCACATGAATACTGACCAGAAGTAAGCTTTATTCATTTTTACTTTATTGGAGGAATGTTTGAGATTCAATTTTGTGTTGTGTAATTTTTACTTGTTGCCTCCATTGTCTACTTCTTGGAATTGCATGGTATGGGAGCATATAAAACAGACCGAATAATTAATGGTGTTAGTTTTAATTTAGCACAAGGGAATTAATATCAAGCCACAAAACTTTAGACATGAACTTGCTTTTCTGATCATCTTTTTTTTTTTTTTGAAGTTTCTTTATTTATTTTGAGAGAGAAAAGAAGAGAGAGAGAGCACACACCCAGGAGAGGCCCAGAGAGAAAGAGACAGAGAGAATCCCAAGTAGGCTCTGCACTATCATCACAGAGTCTGATGCAGGCCTCGAACTCACAAACCACAAGACCATGACTTAATCTGAAACCAAGAGTCAGATGCTCAATCGACTAAGCTACCCAGGGGCTCCATTTTCTGATCATCTTTGATGACAATGTTTTGAAAGAATTTACATGCTTGCAAGTAAGGACTAATCTTGCATAATATTAAAGTAGATAACTGTCTGTCATTGGGCACCAGTGAAGTTTCTTTGTCTCATCAGGTATTTGAAAGAATGTATAAAAATCACATGATGAGGGGCACCTGGGTGGTTCAGTCGGTTAAGTGGTTAAGCAGCCCAACTGGGCTCAGGTCATGATCTCACAGTTTGTGAGTTTGAGCCACATATCTGGCTGTGTGCTGACAGCTCAGAGCCTGGAGCCTGCTTCAATTTTGTGTCTCCCACTTTCTTTGCCCCTCCCCTGCTCACACTCTGTCTCTCTATCTCTCTCAAAAGTATTTAAAA